TCGCCACCTTACTATCAAGACTACCTTCCTTCTGGCGATATCTTCTCTCAAGAGAGTTGGGGATCTGCAGGCCCTTTCAGTGGCTCCTTCTTATCTTGACTTTGCGCCCAGTCTGGCCAAAGCGTGCGGGGTATGTTCCTAAGGTCCCCTCCTCTACACCACGGCCTGTCGTGCTCCAGGCCCTCAGTCCTCATCCCTTCGGGGATCCAGACCAGCAGAAGCGTAACTGTATGTGTCCAGTGCGAGCACTAGACGCATACGTCCACAGAGCTGCCCTGTGGAGAAGGGCAGACCAACCGCTCGTATGCTATGGTCCCCCTAAGAGAGGTCTTCCAGCTACAAAACAGACCCTCAGTCAGTGGATAGTAGATGCCATTTCTATTGCCTATGAGTCCTCTGATCTCCCTTCGCCTCTTGGGGTCAAGGCTCATTCTACAAGGAGTGTGGCGGCCTCCAAGGGCTTCTTAGCAGGAGTCTCGATGCAGGACATCTGCGATGCTGTGGGATGGTCCACGCCCCTAACCTTTGTCAGGTTCTATGGCCTAGATATGTAAGCCACTCCTGGCTCTTCTGTTCTCGCGCCCTAGCTGTGCACACTTCCACACTAGGCGAAGATTTGAAAGTCTGGCGGCGTGGGCATTCTCGTTCCCGGAGCGTCCTCCGACGCAGCTCGAGTTCCTGAAGAGGAACGTCTCAGGTTACGTATGTAACCATGGTTCCTCGAGGGAATGAGATGCTGTGTCTCGGGGCCATACTTTCGGCATCTCTGCCAGCGCTTGCTTCACTCCTAGAAGCTGAAGCTGGTTTCACCGCACGTGCTTTTATAGCTTCCTGGTCATTACGTCACCTGCCCGTGACGTCTCGCCCATCTATTTGACTGATTACACACGAGGTTCAGAGCCGAAATACACGAGTTTCACAATTTGAGCTGAATTACTGAAATAAATGAACTTTTCCACAACATTCTAATTTAGTGAGATGCACCTGTATGGTGATTTTGGGGAGGAGATGCATGTACGCACAATCTTCCGCTGACAGGGATTTATAAAAAGATTTTTGCGCAGGTTCTGGCGTACGCATGGTTTTATAAATCTGAGAACTTTTGTTTGTACGCCAAATCTAGCTTTTGTGCGTACGTACACTTTTAGGATGAAACCTACGGAAAGTTTCATGAGGCCTTTCCCACCCTGGTGTTTCATGAGGCCCCAGGTAACCAATACTTAGAACATTTACGTTACATTTATGCATTTAGTATAAACATAGCAGATCCAAAATGGTCATTAAGGCGTCGTAAAATGAATCCATATGAATTGAGTGGTTTAAGTAAAGTCTTGTGATGAGATACGACCACTTTATATGATGAACAGATTTCATTTAGGCTTTTATTCACATATAAACAGACATACACAGAGCTTATCATATTTGGTAATGCATATGTTACACGCTACAACAAACTTTATTGGTTCTCGTGCATCACATACACATATTTGAGCTTTTGTGTTTACCATATGTGATGTGTGTGCCAATCATTGTTTAAATAGAAATAAAAGCCTCACATAAAATGATGTTAATCATATAAAAGCCTCATATAAAGCGATGATCATCATATAATGAGATATCTCTTCACAAGACTAAATGTCTCAATTTTACATGAATTCATTTTACAACATCTTTATGACCTTTTTGGATCTGCTAAGTTTTGTTTGCCTGGACTTTGAATGGGGTACAGAAACCTCTCAGGTTTCATTAAAAATATCTTAATTTGTGTTTCGAAGATTAACCAAAGTCTTATAGATTTGGAACAACATGAGAGAGTAAGTGGTGAACTATCCCTGTAAAGGCACAATTTACCCCAAAAAAGGTTCCAAACCTGTAAAATTTTCTTTCTTCTGCTGAACACCAAAGGAGATATTTTGAATGTTTCTGCTTTTGTCCATACAATGTAAGTCTATGGAGTCCAAAACAGCACTGGACCCCACTGACTTTCACAGTAAGGACAAAAAACATTTTTGTTCATACAGGTTTGGAATGACATGTGGGTGAGTAAACAATGACAGAATTCAGATTTTTGAGTAAATTATCCCTTTAAGAATGAATCTTGCATCAAATAGCAAACTGTCTTTGAAAAATGTTAACTAAATTTTAGTCATTTTAACTGATTAAATTTTAGTCAGTTGCTGCCAGCATTAATGGTCTCAAAATGTACCTTCCACCATCAGATCTCACCTGGATAGGGTACGCGTCCTTTGGTGACCAGCTCTGTGAGTAGTATTCCAAATGACCACACGTCTGACTTGATGGTAAACCTTCCGTAGAGTGCTGCCTCTGGAGCCGTCCACTTGATTGGGAACTTGGCACCTACAACGGAACACTGGATTTATGGATCTGATCTTGAAATGTGGCCTACTTGTGAATTGGGCAACGTTCCCAGAGAAATGACAGATTTAACTCTGTTGAATATGTGCATAAGGAAACAAACATTAGTAGATAAAACAGTTATATGACCTGTATAGCCATGTCATCCCCATTTGAGAAGTTGCCATGTCGAAATGTTTCCATATGCAACTGAACATTGTACTATAAACACCAAGCGGCAACCTTCCGGTCTCTCTCGTGAAACCAACATGGAAGTGACTAAAACTGCAATTCATCGACTGGCCGCTAGAGGCTGGCTCCAAAAGGGAGTCAGTCCCATAGACTCCCCATGTTAAAATGCCCAACTTTACAGTAGAAATAAATATGTTTACAGCCTGGTACAAAAAGTGGTTTTGGTCTATATAGCTAATTTTGCCCTTCATGACAACTGTAAGGGGGTTGAATTTTTTAGAACTCATCCGTTTAAATTATATTAAGCCTTAAAGTTCCGCATAATTAAGGGCGTGGCCACTTGAGTGACAGGTGGATTGCCACTGCTGTTACCACCGTCAAGCTAGGTGGGCGTGGTTTCAGCAACCAGCTCCCGCCTCTTTGCCCATTTTCGATTATCAGGGAGTGAGGCACGGTGACGCGCTGCCAAGATGGCGATGGCTGGCTCCACCCACTTTAGGCTTCAAAAACGCTCTTCAGAAAACTACGGGTGACGTCACGGACACTATGTCCATGTTTTTATACAGTCTATGATAAACACTTACAATAAATAAATATAAACACAGTAATACATGTGATTCCAATATTTATTAAAACAAGGAAATGCCCAGTGAACAAATGCATTATTGCAATTCAAATGTGGTAAACCCTTGCAATATGGTAACATTAGTATTTTCTCTAATTTACTGTAGAACTACATTAGACTGTGATCTTAATAATACATTTTAATAATAAATAATCCAGCAAACTATCCAGACATAGAAGGAAATTTACAGAAATTTGAGCAGTACTTAAATCATTTCACTTAAAAACAACATATTATTGGTTATTATAAACTCTGATCTTTAAACTCCAATAATGCAATTTACTTTTTTCTGAATTGTCAGTGTAATGTGTAAAGTGAAGAAAAATGCTGTTTCCATATAGCAACACTGTGCAATAGAGGGTTGACTGAACCTATGAAGATGATTTGGGAGTGTAACTCTCACCTTGCCGTGCTGTGTATTCATTGTCCTCTATTAGTCTGGCCAGTCCAAAATCTGCAATCTTGCACACTAAGCTGTCACCAACAAGTATATTGGCAGACCGCAGATCTCTGTGGATGTAGTTCATCCTTTCAATGTAAGCCATGCCTGCAGCGACCTAAAAGATAAGTGCGCGAGCAATGAAATATTTAAATGTCCCGTGGTCAAAGTAAGTGCTTACTGAAACCAGATACCTTAATCTATTATTGGTATCAAAACATTTTAACTAACCTGAGCGGCCATGTCCACTAAATTTGGCAATTTAAGGCCACGTCCTTCACCATCCTTCAAGAAATCCAGCAGGCTTCCTGAAAGACAATCAGTTACATGTGAACAAACCTGTGTGATTTCTTTGTGATTTCTTTGAAAACAGTTGTGCTGCTTAATATTTTTATGGAAACCGTGACACATTTTTTCAAAATTCATTGATGAACAGAAAGTTCAAAAGAGCAGCATTTATTTACCACTTCTGTTTGCAAAATCTGTTCTTACCTTTGCTCATATATTCTGTCACAATATAGATGGGTTCTTCAGAGACGACCGCATAAAGCTGCACTAGCTTGTCATGCCTCAGTTTCTTCATTATCTGAGCCTCCTCCAGGAACGACTCTGGGGACATTGTGCCTGGTTTCAAGGTCTTCACTGCCACTTTAGTATTGCCATTCCAAGTGCCTGCCATTCAGAGACGAGATATCATAGTGAGTCACACAGCCCTTGAAAGGAACCACACATAAAACCTTCCATGACAGCTGGCTTTCTTTTGACAAGAGGAAATGTTCTCCGCCTCACTGACAGGGCAAGATTTATACCCCTGGAATTATAAGTAATGTATGAATATCAAACTCTTTTATTGGGTATGTGGTTAAACTAATCTCTTACCCATCCAGACCTCTCCGAACTGTCCATTCCCCAATCGTTTGAGGAGCTGAAGTGATTCCCGTGGGATCTCCCATACATCTTTGGTTTTGACAGACAGGTCAGCAAGGCGGGGCATGCCTTTATGGCACGGGACTATTAAACGGCAACAAAGTCCTGCAGCCCGGGCTGAATGCAGAAATTTGAATAGATTATACTGTTTGTTTATCATTTAAGATTGAGAAATTTTAGCATTATGCATTCGATGCAGATTTACCAGAATAATGGTGCACAAGCTGCTGCAGTGTTTCAAATTGAGCTCTAGTGGTGATGTAATATCCTCCATTGTCCAATTTGCGGATCTTGTAGTGCTTCACGTGGTCACCTTTAGTTTCATCCCAGTCCTGTATGGACAATGAATAGGCTCCTAGAATAAACATGAGAGAACAGAAAATCTCTCATTTGAACTCTCAAATGTCAGTTAAAAATTCCAAGATGAACATGTTAATGTTTTAAGTCAGCACGTTTTTGTTTGTTTTTTGGAAAGAAATTAGTACTTTTGTCTGGCGATGATGCATTAAATTGATCAAAAATGACAGTAACGACATTTATAATGTTACAAAAGATTCCTATTTCAAATGCTGCTATTTTAAACTTATTCATGAAAGAATCCTGGAAAAATGTATCACGGGTTCCACAAAAGATTAAGCAGCACAACTGTTTTCAACATGTTGATTCAATGTTTCTTGAGCACCAAATCAGCATATTAGAATGATTTTGAAATAATCATGTGACACTGAATGGCAGCTTTGCCGTCACTGGAATAAGTAGCATCACAGGAATTAATTACATGTTACAATATATTAAAGTAGAAGACTTTAAATTGTTACTTGAAATTGTTAAAAAAAATCACAATATTACAGATATTATTATTGATCAAATAAATGCAGCCTTGGTGAGCATAAGAGACTTCCTTGGAAAACAATAAACAATCTTACTGACCCCAAACCTTAGAACAGTAGAGTACATTAAAAGCATTAGTTAATGTTTCAGACAGCATCCTACTGAAAAGCAATATGTTCTGTGAACTCACGTGCTATTTAGAATCTGGAACTTTTCCCCTTTCCTGAAGCTGAGGTCATCCTCTGACCTTGCCTCATAATCATAAAGTGCTACAAAGAGTGTTACTCCTGCAAAAGAAAATGACAAATAACATCAGCTTACTAAAACAATGCAGTTTATAGAAATATTACGATGTTTCAACAATGTGCAATGTACAATGTGATCCAAAGTGGAAATTGTTGGGATATTTTTTAAAAGATTGAGACAAAAGTTATTTTAAATGGTCAACATTAAATGATATTCACAACTCATTTGACTTTCATTAAATATTTTCAAATAAAACAGGATATTCAATGAGAGAAATGTAGGCCAGGACTTGATTTTATCCATCAGATCACGATACCAGAATGAAGCCAGTAGGGAAGGGGCTGAAAAAATGAGGCCTTGGTGATGTCAGCCAAAAGGGAAAGTTTTTTCAGAGATTTAACAAGGAAAAAAACTTCTTTTTTTTAATTTGGAATGATGTGAACAGATCCAACAAGAGCAAAATCCTCTCATTTGTTCTACCTGTTCCACCCCGGGATCGTAGCGTTCCAGATTGTGAAGAAGAGTTCACTCCCCCAAACACAGTCACTCCTTGACTGACAGGCGCATGGAAGTTATTGTAGTTGGGTATAGTGGTGACTCCAAAGCTGGGGTAGTGCTGAGGTGTCGGATCAGCCCCATATCGATATCCTGCATGCTGTGAGACACTAGTTTCTCTGTCGTCTGTGAGTTTGGTTGCCTCTTTGTCCTTGCATTGCACACAGCCCATTATCTATATTCTTTGTGGTGAAGAAAGGCATAAATGAACATTCATACAAAATGACTTGATATATATTTATTTCTGCTTTGACATTTTATTGGTTTGAATCTAATCAAATTAAGACATATTAAAGAGGAGGTTAAGATTCATATTCAGAACAACTGACTGGAAGTAAACAAATATCCCTAAGTTATTACTTGAAACAGACATAAATCAATAATTAATTCAACAAGTGATTCAGAAAGACATTTGGTTTTAAGCACACAGTCTGTAATTACAGTGAAAACAAATGGATGTGTCACTAAATATGTGATTTATTTAATCTTATTTGCAAATATCATGATTTGGATAATTGAATTAGTTAAAGGAATAGTTCACCCAAAAATGAAAATTTGTTGAAAATATATTCACCATATATTATAAATATATTCAGGCCATCCAAGATTTAGATGAGTTTGTTTCTGCATCGGAACACATTTGGAGAAATTTAGCATTTCACCACTTGCTCACCAATGGATCCTCAGCAGTGAATGGGTGCCGTCAGAATGAGAGTCCAAACAGCTGATAAAAACATCACAATAATCCACAAGCAATCCACACGACTCCAGTCCATCAATTAATGTCTTGAGAAGCGAAAAGCTTCACCATCAACTTTAAACATTAAATATAAACCTTTTTTTTTTTTTTTTGCTGAAAATACCAGTACATAATCCACAGCATTTCCTCCAGTTAAAAAGTTCATCCTCTGTTGTGGACTGTTTGCACTGGTAAACAGTGCTTGATCTGTATATTTCTCTCCTAATTCAGACAAGATGACTTTTTCACTGAAGAAAGTAATATTATGGATAAGAGGACTCATATTTTAGCCGGAAACATCGGTTTGAAGTTAAAAACATCTTAATGATCCTTCACAAGCCATTAATTGATGGACTGGAGTGGTGTGGACTGCATGTGGATTATTGTGATGTTTTTATCAGCTGTTTGGACTCTCATTCTGACGGCACCCATTCACTGCAGAGGATCCATTGGTGAGCAAGTGATGTAATGAGTACATTTTCAGTTTTCAAACTATTCCTTTAATGTGACCATTTTTCTGTTTTGCATAACATTATGTTAATATTAATAAATGTTTATATAAGTGGCCTGTTTATACAAATCTTGTAAATGGGCATGTAACACATGCAGAGAGTAAACGAAAACATATATTTAATAAACATACCAAGGCAGGCACTGGGCTACCACAGTGGAGTATTCGCATTCCATTCAATTAAAGATGATGTGAAAACATCTACGATTTGCTCCTTCGCCTGGGTGGGCAAAACGAAAGCCAGAGACATTGTTTTAAGGGAGAACTTCTGGAGAACTATAGCAACTGTGTTGAAGTATACATAAAGTCTGATGTCTGTATAAGTTAAACATTTCACCCTTCAACATCCTTTAAATATTATGCAGAAAACAAAGAATTCAGAAGAGCCATTCATGCTTTTGTTGTACAAGAAAAAGTGTCTCGACCACAGACATTACAGCAAATATTGTTTTATCTTTACTTTTGAAAATTAAAAGTTATATAATTTTATATCCATCATAACATAAATATTTCATAAGACCCTTTAATTAAGCCAGAAATAACCAATCCTTTTCATCAATGAGACTTTTTGTTCATAACTACTGCGTAAATATTGCTGAGATTGCTGAGAGATTTTCAGGCACCAATCCTTTAAATTAAGAGATTTAAACTATAATTTTATGAGTCTCAAAAAGATTTGCATGCTCCTAAATGGAGGATTTGACTTTCTGAGACTCAAAGCATAGAAAGATTTCCATGACTTTTGATGTTTTATTACTTTCCCAGACTATTTAAAAATTCCATGATTTTTCTAGGTTTTCCATGACCGTGCTAACCCTGTATTTATCATTCTGGATGCATAAAGAAAGCAATAAGATGGGAAAAAGGCTTTTTGTGCCTAAGGGCCACTGCATATAGGCTTCAGACATAAAACAACCAAAAAATCAATAGACAGATTATACTAAAAATAAAATAAAGCATAAAATCCGTCAAGTCACACAAATACTTGCGTGCTGAATTTGTAAACCCTGATGAAGGGTATTGTATGATTTCATTCTGTCATAAATGACTACTGTCCAGTGACAGAGGCCTTATTCTTCCACTCAGTTGTGTACATAAGGCTTTTTCTGCTGCGCATCAATCCTGCTGCCAGAGACGAGCGCTTAGGAGCAAAAGCATCACACCATCCCTACAAGAAAATACATTCGTTCTCGATGTTAAAGATTCCTAACATCATGCGGCTGATAAAGCGAAAGCGTTATGGTTAGTCCGTCGGCACTAGCATTATAAAGCCTCCATCTCCCATCACTTCCATTAACCACAATATCCATTGGATACAAATCGACTGCACCAAGTGTATCAAAAACGGCAGACCATCAGAAAATGCTTACCAAGAGAGGGGTCGCCTGAAGTGTTTTGGATTTCACCGCAAAGAGACGGAAAACAGGTCATTTGCAGACAGCTTTTTCTATTAATAAAATCTCGGTGAATTATGAAAATAACAACAGTGGCCCTGACGGCTCAGGCTGCTCCTGTCGCCGAGTGTAACAGATGATGGCGTTGCTGAGGCGGATTCTCTGGGGACCGAGGTGGTGATTGACAGGACGCTCAGCCAATCGGGTGGGGCAGAAGACGCCTGCGTGCGCGCGCATATTTTGCCTCCTAGATGGTCCTTTCTTGCTCCTACTGTGCAGCATGGGTTCAGCTGTGGTTACCATAGAAAAACTAGAACTGTCTGGTCATGCTCCACAAATCTCTCTGTAATCGTTGACAACCTGTGACACCAATAATTTAGTGTGTTGTCTGAGTTAAAAAAAAAAATTAATAATCCATGCATGCTGTGTGAGGCACACTCCTGAGAATTTCGTTTAATTTGAAACGGTTTGGGTGAGAAACTTTTCAGATTGTATAGCCTGCTAAAAGTAAATCATCAAAGTAAATGCACCCTTATGCAAATCTTTTAACTGAAAGGTGGCACTGTGTACAAAGGAAAAGGAAACTTTTCATTAATGTCAGATTGGTGCAAGTTATCATATGTTTTGCTTATTAATTATAATATTTGGTGGCCAAAGCAATGGTTTAATACCTAGGTTTGACATTTTATCTTTTTACTGTTTAATTTATATTATTATTATTATTATTATTTCTAGCTGAAAAGCCTAAAAATTTTTTTTAATTTTTCTCAGGAAATATTCAAATCTTAAAAGGATTGTTCAGCCATAAATTCTGTGAACATTTATTCATGTTGTTTGAAACCTGTATGACATTCTTTCTTCTGTGGAAAACAAAAGAAGATGTTTGACAGAACGACAGCCTCAGGTGTAAAGTCTCCTGAAAATCTCCCTAGCATATCCTCTTTGTGTGAACAAAGAAAGTCATAACGGTTCAGAAGAACATGGGAGTGAATAAATTAGGATTTTATGGGTATGTGATTGTGCCTGTACTAAAATGGACTTTTGACAGTTAGCCCCAGTCTCCTCATCGTACTGAAAGATCATATATGCACCACTATGGACTCTTTTCACAGACTGTGATGATGCGTTTCCACGGTTATTAACATAATAAATCTTATATATATATATATTTTTTTTTTTTATTTTTTTTATTTTAATTAACGTACATTTCTAACACTATACTTTGTGTTTTCTTTCAATTGCATTGAACTAGCTCACTCTGCATGAGTGTTTCTATTAGAATGGCCTAAGGGAGTGATGCAAATTTGACATCTTCCTCTCATTTCACCATTGTAACCAATGGTACCGCCATGTTACATGCATATACATGTTATATTGCCCAAAAATGGCAATGCGTGTATATGACATGCAATGTTACTGATGTAAATAGATGTATTAAAAATCAGTAATCCGCAAATACAGATCAAGGTTTGGGATGACTTTCAAGCATTTTCAATATTATTCGTTTTAATCTTAGAAAATGAAACTCTGCCAGTGGACTCTCGCCCTAAATCAACATCTGTTGCTGTAGCACCGGCCAACAGTTGTGAGATTTTGTAATATTTAAATTTTTATACTCATCAAGATTTTGTTGAGTCACTTCATGCTATGTATAGCTGACTTTTCAAAATGTTTTTGTGATGCTTCACTGGTTAAATTCTAAGTAAATATGGTCATGTTACTTTAGATCATTTTTGATCAAATGCCACAATTAACATATTTCCCTAAAGTATGAAATCTGTATTATACTGTTAATTTACTTCCTGTTATTTAAATTTTATAATAAATGTATGTTTTTTAAAGATAAATGTCCAGTTTGCACAATCCGGTTTGGTGTAGTTATTAGGCTTTAATGTTTTAGGGTTTCTCTGTTTAACAAAACATAAATCAGCTTAATATGCAATATAAATCTTCCCTCCTATTCCTGGATTACTCAGGCAGACCATTCACTCGTTCAGACGTAAACCAAATATTTCACCATTGCACATTTACAATATTATTATTGTTTATGAGCAATCTGCTGTGATGTTGAGCAGTTGCCATGGTGACGTGAGATAGTATGGTGATGTGAAAGCACACTTTATTTCAGTGCATTCAAAGCAGCTCCGTCTGGGTTGACAATAAACTGTGACTGAATCTAGGTCACCAGGATTCCTCAGAAAGAATTCTTCATGCATGCAGTGTGTGACTGAATGTTTATATTGGAAAATTGAAATCCAAGGTTGGAGCGTTGCAAATGAAATGTTTACAAACCTTTGTGTTGGCCTATGTAGTGTCTATAGATAAAGTAGCATAATGCATACTCAGCCATTTAAATCTATGGTGTTTACTTTCTCCCTTCATATTTTGAATAAACCAAAAGAAAGATTTTTTTAAGAGACAGGGTTATGAAAAAAACAACAACCGCAAAGATCAAAGGAGAGAAAGATATAAAACCAGCAGTAAAAAGAAAAGCAAAATCTTTGTGACTGCATACACTGGTACTGAATCACCAGTTGCTGGTTGCGAGCCCTTCCTCCCCTCCAGTGCGTGAGTGTAACCCCTCCCCCCAGCTTCGCGCAGGCCTCTGATTGGCTCACGCCGCTCTTCTGTGACGTCAGGGGTATTTGGGCGTTGTATCCAGCATCTCATTATCAAAAGAGAACAATTTCATTATCTCCATCTCTTATCCCAAAATAATATATTTTATTTGAGAAAGTGCAGTAATTAGTATTTATTCTCGATCAGTTGATCACAGCTTCACCTCTCGTTATCTCCTTTCCGCGGTTTTATTTGAAAACAGACGCTGTTGAGAGCGAGCACGCGACGCGTCTGAGGGAAAAGCTCGCGCTCTTTGTTTATTCATTTGATCTGCGATTCTTTGTTGCGTGTGAAAGCATGGGAGCGCAAATCTCCAAAAACGGAGCAAAAGACGAGACTGCTGCCGAAAAACCAGCCGAGGCTGCGAATAAGTCAAACGGGCAGGTAATAACTTTAATTATTATGTATGTGCAGGCGTGTGATGTTTTGAGGGGGTGTGCAGTACCAAAAACCAAGTCGGTTCAAATGAACAATGAGTCGATCAACAAAGGGACTATCCACTTTCCACTCAAAACCAGCACTTTGTATTAAATATCGACGTTATTGTTGTATAAAATTTGAATGATGAGCATACATTTGTTACATTTAGTGTAAATTACATTTTTCTAATTTGCACGTTGATTGGAATAACGTTAGACCCCCCAATGCAATCAGTGCGTTTAAACGGCAAGTACATTTTTTTCTTTTAAAATCGTATAATTACGAATACGGTACAATTCGGTGATTCCATTCCGATTTTTTAAAACGAGTTAAATAGGAACATCTTCGTAGCTTTATCAAGCTTTTCCGTCGTGCAAAGCCATTTCGGTAAAATCACCACGCCTTTATCGCATCTTCTTGATAAAATGGAAGTACAAATAAGCCATGAGACGCAATCCATGGATTTAATGAGAAATGGCTTTAATATGAGAAGTGGCCTTGCAAGACTGTGTTTGCACTTAACACGATGATCTCCTCGGTTTGATCAGGGCTGGTGGATCTACTCGTCCATCTTGCAACGCTTTCATTTAAAGTGCCCCTATTATGGATTTTTGAAAATTACCTTTCATGCAGTGTGTAACACAACTCTAAGGGAATGAAAACATCCTGCAAAGTTTTAAATCTGAAAGTGCACCGTGTATAAAGTTGTCTCTCAAAATAAAGAGTCGACTCTGAAACATTGAAACCAGTCGTGAATCCCAAGCCGTTTTATGTTGACGTCAACATGAAACATTAGCATATTGCCCGCCCACTTGTTGGTATTTTCCTTTGCACAGGTCTGAATGAAAATGCTAATTAATTCTTTGCCACTAGGTGCAGCTTTTAGAGCAGTAAAAATAGCTGTTTCCCCGGTAACGCTGTTCACAAAGCAGCACTGCGCTCACAAACGCTGCTTTATCAGGCATTACAGGCAAGATGCGGACCAATCACCGCAGATTAGCGTCACGCAAAGCAGGGTTTTGGAAAAATTAATCGTTGAGTGAATCATTTGGGAGTCGTTGAGCAAGTAAGGTAAAAATAAATGCATATTATTAGACCATGAAAGTGTATTTTGACCTTGCATGCATGTCAACCTGTCGTTGGGGACTCCCAAAACCAAAATATGAACCTTTCATTACCCATAATAGGGGCACTTTAAATGGCAACAGCATCAGCCAAACAAAGTGCATGACACTTCACCCACGTGGGGAACCTATAGACTCAAGATAGTGTTTTTCATACAGCCTCTTGTATTTAGTATGTTGTAAATATGCTAAATTAATGCAAACAATTGTTTTTAATCTTTACGGTGCAAAAACCGCTTATATGAAGCATTTTCTTATTCCCACAGGAGAATGGCCATGCTAAAATCAATGGGAATGCCTCTCCAAATGCAGAAGCAGCCACGGAGGATGTGCAGGCCAATGGAAAGCACTCTGCTGATGGGGAGGTAAAAGCAGAGGAAGGAAAGGCCGAGGAAGGAGGTGCAGAGAAAGCTGCTCCTGAGGGTGAAGTGGAGAGTTCCGCCATTGCGAATGGTGAAGACACAGCCAAAACAGAAGAAAACGGTTCTGCTTCGGCGAGCAGTGAGCCTGCCAAAACCAAAAAGCGTTTCTCCTTTAAGAAACCCTTCAAACTTAGTGGCTTCTCTTTTAAGAAGAGTGCCAAAAAGGATGCTGAAGGTGGAGAGGCGGCAGCAGCGGCTGTGGAGAATGGTGAACAGAAGAAGGATGCTGAACCTGAATCTGAGGAGGCCAAGCCTGAGGCCTCCAGCGAAGAGAACAAGACGGAGGCTCCAGCTGAGGAACCAAAAGCTGAGGAACCAGATGAAAACAAAGAGGAAAAACCATCAAATGAGGTAGCTGAAGAGAAGCCAGCTGAGGAGAAGCAAGCAGAGGCTGCTCCTCAGGAACCAGCAGCCGCAGAGAGCTCAGATGCCCCAGCCGCTGCCACAGAGTAAGCTGGATGGTGAAAAGCCCGTTTTAGATGTCCGAGAAGCACAAACATGGAAAATTTGTACAAAAACCAATGACATTTCAAACTGTATTC